TGTCCCAGCCCCTGAGCACAGAAGCTGTCAGCACCTGAGGGGAGCAAAGCTGCGGGCAGGGAGATGCCACAGCCTCCCCGGCACCTCTGTCCTGAGAGGCTGCTTTGGGCAGGGAGGAGGGGTCCTGGCTGCCTGCAACCCCCTCGAGGTCCACATGCTCACCCCGGAGCTGGCTGGGGGTGGTGGGAGGACTGAAGTTAAGCCTTGGTTTCCCAAGCCAGGGGACAGCATCAGGATAACACCACCCAGCTCCTGCTGCGACTACGGGGCTGCCCTGAAAGGGAGTGGGGAGGAACTGGGGAGGGCTGGAGCCTCCCCTGCCCGGCTCCACAGCCTGGGGGGCCGGATGGCAGGAAGCTGAAGGGAGGAGGGGGAAGGGACAAGCACCACTCCTGCTGCTCGAGGGTTTGCTCTGTATTGGAGTCAGCCGGGCTAGGTGCGGGGCAGGCTGCACATCTCGCAGTGGTCTGTGCCCGGCTGGTTCATGAAGGTGCAGTGCTGGCAGCCCCACATGGCTGGCCGGGCCGCGCGTTTTTTTTCAGCCCCACATGGCTGCCGAGGCCGCGTGTGTCGAGCTGCCCATGGCACCGTACTCCTGGAGTCCTGAGATCTGGACACCAACTGTGCCTGTGAGAGAGAGAGCCTGGTCAGAGCCAGGGGGACCCACTAGGACCAGGCAGGTCCTCACCTCAACCCAGGCCATGTTCTCTGTCCTGATCCAGCTGAGGTGCTGCCTTCTCCTCCAAGGCCCCCCGGGGGTGCTCCCCAGTGGTGGCAGATCTTGGTACCCCCACCTGAGCACTGCAGATCTCACAGTGCAGCCCCCCTGCCCCACTCCCTGCTCAGTGCAGTGGGGACTGCTCGGGACAAGGAACAGCTTTTCTCCTACCCAAGCCTCCAGTGGCCTCCCTGGTGGCTTGAGAGCAGCAACTGTGTGGCCACCAGCCATCTGCCCAGCCCTGGCCCAAAGAATGAGGGACAATGAACCCCTCCCCAGCCTGACCCCTCCCCAGAGTGACCCCCTCTCTTACTGCAGAGCTGCTCGATGGTGGCCCACTGCTCTGATTTTTTCCAGGTCTGTGCTAGCTCCTCATTCTTGGTCCTCACGGCTTCCAGCAACAAGCTGATGCTGTCCTGGAAGCCAGAAAAGAGAAATCAGCACTGGACACTCTGGTGCCCAGGGAATTGCCTCCCTGCCCTCCTCCACCAGCTGCAGCAACACAGCACTGCGAGTTGCAGCCACTTCCCCCTTTGATTTCCCCCAGTGAGGCTCCTGGACAGGGACCAAGATGCAGTTTATCCCCAACATATCCCCAAACATCCCTTCCCTCTGCATGGAGCAGCTTATCACCCACGGCTGCCCCGTGCCGTGCTGGCAGTGCCAGCCCCAGTGCTGAAGCTCTCTGGTGTCCCATCCCAGCCCTGCCAGCAGCTCCAGCCTGATCTCCAGCCGCCCAGGGTCAGCCCAGCCACCCTGCACATGCGTGTTCCTCAGCACCCTCCCAGCCTCTCCCAACCAC